TCAGCAAGTGATCATCAGAGCACAGCTCTCTTACGTGGGGAGGTAGGTTCAGAAGGCACAGTGTAGACAGCGTCATATTAAACTCTGTCAAACCACCCTTCTTATTGAGGGCAGGTCTGGCTGATACAGTGTGCTGCTGCTGCTAGGGCATCCAAGGATCCACTTTCACAAGATGAATGCCAAGATATCACTACCTGATAGCTCAGATGCTGGGAAAATGACAGCGGCTTACATGGCAGGACATGGTACAACTCAGGGTTTCGACGCTTCTGTTTAAATCTGGGACACCTCTTTTTAGAGTGCTAGCTGAAACCAAAAGTAAATGTTTGTCTTCTAGGGGAACGAGGTCTTTAATTCTTGACTTGTATTTGGAAATAACAGCTGCTGCACACACAAATCCAACATTGTCTTTCTCTTTACAGAATTGCAGAATATAACTATTAAACAGTCTTCCTTAAGTTGTTTCAGCAAAAAATGCAAACAACACCGCACCCCGCATCCATAAGGAACACAAATCTTTCCCGTGTGATTTTACTGTGGGGTCTTACTCATCTTTAGACTGTGAAGTAAGCCTGGCTACAGAATGGTATCAGTTAAAAATACTCCCTTCCCTAGGCTAAGAATTTCTTAAAGATTATTTTCAATTTGTATTTTTGCAGGTTTTTCACACAGGACTCAGATGTATAAACAATTGCAGACCAAATTCAAGGTCCTTTCCTACATAGAAAAAAACCACAAAACCAAGCCAAAACATAAGCCTCAGCACATCTTGTTGCTGATTTATAAAGGAGTAAAGATTAATAAGAATTCTAGGTTTTAATCCAGATAAGAGAGACAGTCAGTTAAATAAAAGAGAAAACATTCTAGTAAATTTTCAGGAGAGACAACAATTTGTTGGGCATGTTATATGGCAGTATGTATTCTCAGGTTTGGAGGTGAATGCTGCAGGCAACTTGCCCTTCAAATTCAGTTTCCATTTATTTTGGCTGCAAATCGTAACCTCCTTATCAAGCAGGTATCAAGACATCTGTTTCTGTCCTTAGTAAATGCAGTAAACTTGCATTCGGGTTTCAGGCTAGAACAAGCAGTTTTCTTCTGTCCAGTAATAAATACAAGTTTAAAATGCGCTAGGCAAAACTGGCCCAATATAAGAAAGCTCTAATGAATGAAAGGAATGTGGCAGGGGGGAAGAAAGAACAAAAAAACCCTGTATGGGAACAAAAACTCCATTAAAGGCTACATTAAGCTCCAGCACTACAACTTTATTTTTGAGAAAGCTAGTCTTGCAAACTGCTGGGAACAGTGGAAACACCCAAACCACTTTTTTTCACAACAGGCAATCTCTGAAGACATTCAACGTTTGGGTTCAAGCAAGATAAAGGTGTGAAAAAGCAGGTGGTTATCTAAAGCCTATTTAGATTTCTCAAATTTTCAGATGAGATAACGATCCAACTGTGACAGTCTGTGCCTTGCTGGTCTCTCCCAGAGCATAGCCATGAATAATAACCCAGAATGAGGGAAGACCATACTCAAGAGCTGCAACTGCTCAAAACAGTTTAGTCAGTATTTAATCCTAAAAATGATTTTTTAAAAGACTTGAACACTTGTGAGCTGAGAGCACAGAAGATGGAAAAATCTACCCATCTCCTCTAGTTAACACCAACACGAGCAGAGTTCAGGTGGCTGCAAATGCATGTAATCAGCACAGGAGTCCTAGTTTAGGGGAACTTTTCTCAAGCTATCAGCCTGGGAGCTGGGATTAATCTGCTGTGTTGTAAGGTTGAGATGATGTCCCAGGCTCCACAGCCTGGGGATGCCCTTAACAGGGAAGGGGGCTGGGAAGCACATAACTTAGGGTTGCTCCACAGTCTAATGGAACAGCTCCAAACTGCTTCAGTGGTCTCTGGACCAGGCTCTCAGTGCCAAGATTTGCTCCTACCTTTACAAAATGAGAAGCACCCTTGGGTTTTTTTTTGTAGTGCCATCAATTTTAACAAGAGCAGTCTTGGAAAAAGGTACTGGTAGCTGTCAACAGGGGTCACTAAACAGACATTAATAAACCCACCCACTGTACATCTACAACACAAGACAGTACGTTCCAGCTCCTACATTTGGGTGCATAACCTGAATGCATCCAGACTGATGTAAGAGGGGCACAACCCCACTCTGTTCTGCTATAATTTCTGCAATAAAGAAACCTGGATGCCTGAGTGAGAAGGAAACTGTGGTGTGCTACAAGCACTTTGTGGAGGACATCTGCTATGCTGTTGTTGCGGCATGTGTGAGTTTGGTTAAGGGTGTCGAGTGCAGCCGACACAGCCGTGTAGCCGTAGCCATAACCATGCTGTATAACAAGGCCAAGGCACACAAAGATGTAACCTCTAAGCACTTACATCATAAGAACATGCCAATTCCTCTCCCCTCATATTTTAGAAGAACAAACTTCACCTTTACACGTTTTGAAAGTAATTACATCTTAATGCAGACTCAAGAGCATTTATATTTGATTACTATCATTTGGCAATATATTCTTTGACCTGTTCCAGTGCTGTCTGTTCTTTAAAGCTGGAAATGCTATGAACCAGGAAGCATTTCTGTTTGAGATATGTTTTGGAGAAGGTAAGAATAAAGGGCAATATGCCAGGAGAACTGAACACCTTGAGATAAGCATGAAGGAAAACTCCTGGTTTAAGCATGTCACTTAGCTCTCAAAGGGTTGAGAAAAGCCTTGAGAAGAGAGATGAGTTGTCAGGACATTATCAGCCTCCACATCTGTACATAACCAAGCCTCTAGTAACTTGCTGACAGAGGGCAGATCCCACCAGAACGTTAGAGATTTCTGAGGATGCAAGATCCCAAGATGAATTAGAAAATTACCAAGAAAGCACCACCAAAAGCATACAGGCTGAAGACAAGGCATGAAATTTGGAAGCCCTGCAGGAGACTTGGTATGTTCTTTACTAACCACAATGGAAACATCCTTGTCCACTTCTGCATGATTTACATAAGAGAAAGACAAGCAGCTTGTGTGTATTATGTGAAGAGGCTGCAAGCCCACACATTAGTTGTCTTGGTAAGCTTTGAAGACAAACTATCCCAAAACCTGGGGGAGGGAGTATTAAAACACCAGGGTGTGATTTGACCTTCTCTAATTTTTAGTGAGCATAATTTTAAAATACTAAAAGTGTTTCTAAGCAACTGAAGAAATGTCTTGTTGCTATCTCCAATGCTCAAAAAAAGGGAGACTGAGCATGAGGGAGACTGGTGTCAGCCTCCTTACCGTTCATTCCTCTCTTCAGATTATAAGATCCTGCTGTTACAGCCTGGATGTCCATGAGACTTTAGAGATCACAAACAGTAGAAATATGAAGACTTTGGTCCAGCATCATATAACAGACAATAAAACTGCTTCTGTCTTAACAGGATGATGAATGGGGTAGCCTGAAGGAAGCTTGACCAGATTACGTACTTTTATTTTCACAAGGTAGATAGAGACATATGCCACATATACCAAATTTCCACACACATATTTTTCATTTTCTAATGTGAATTTACGAAAAGTTCACTACTGTGTCTACCTTGCAACAAAGCATTTAAAAAAAACCCAAAACTTTTACAGAACCAAAATTGTTCATAGCAAATGTATCTTATATAAAATTTGCTTATTCACTGTCATCAGTTCTGTTCTGTTCATATCATGCAGAGGAGGGAAAACCCTTTTACAGAAAGAATTGTTTAAAATTGACAGAATTCCTCCCACCTTTGAATGTTGCTTTCTGATAAGCTTTATGGACTGTTGTGTTAAATATGTTCCTTTTGATCCAACTCCACTTTGCTTTTCAGAAGTTGTGAAATTAGAGGTTTAACAATGGCAGGAAGGCTATTTTTTGCTAGGAGTAGCAGACAGAGAATAAATAGTACCTCAACACAGATTTTAGGGGCTTGTACTTACTTAATGTAGTTTTAATAGCAGTTCTTTCTGTGGCACAATCTTATTTTTAGTCTTATGCAATAGCATAAGCTGCACCACAAAAGACTTTTCTAGATTTTAACGCATAATCTGAGAAAAAGTTGATTAACTTTTTTAGATCAGTTAATCTAATATTATCAATTTCTTAACTTCTGATTCATAAAATCTCTTATAAGCAATCTATAGGCATCTGTGGAAGCTTTGGCTATAAATATTCGCACGAGAGGGCCAGCAAATGAAAGTACAGATAAAAAGCAGATTTAACTTCAAATATATCTTTTGACAAAGGTGATGATAGGCTCTGGCCCTTGTTACAGTTTCTCCTACCCTTTCAGGTTTTGCTAGTCAGTTCTACTTTAAAAGCATGATCTTTTCAAGATGAAGAATAATGAAAACAACAGTTCAGTAACCATATGAACATCACAAAATTTGATTAAATCTCTGCATTTGAGAACAATTTTAAAAAGATATTGCACTCAGTAACTAATATCACCTCTAAGCTTGCATCTCTCATTATTTGACACTCGATAAATGCTGTAAGCCCCTATATCCTAGGGGGCAAAACTAAGATCTTTCTGAGAGATACCCTTGGCCAAACTTACTGCTGGCACAGTTCCAGGGAAATCCATCAGGATAGATTTGATTTTCAAGAGCAGTATTTGCAAAATCTGACAGACATTTCAATTCCACCCTTAAAGCCACCTCTACAAAAGCTGCTTTATTTCGAAGAAGAAAAACAGAACAGAATACCTTTGTAAATATGCCTCTGCTTTTAACTCCTCTCAGATTGAGGAGCTTCATGACACCTAGAAAGAGACCTGTCACAAAAATACAATGGCAGGAAAGTTTTTCACAGAACACATATAACTCAACTACCAGATAGTACCTTCTTCTCCTCCAACACACAGTCTTTCAATCACTGAACTGAAAAATACTAAAAAAAAAGGCATCCAGCTACTGACAGCTAAGCTTTTGCTCACAAAACCCCCACAGATGTGACAAGTCTATCCGAAAAAGCCAAAGAACTTACCTCCCACAGTGCAAACACAGAGTACAGCTAGGAAAAAGAAGGCAACCCCCAGGAGCTTCATGCTTGGTGGTGGTGGTAGTAGTGCTGTCAGCTCTCCCTTACACAGCTGGGCAGGGAGTACTCTCTCACTCTGAGGCAGGCCTTAATTACTCCATGGAAAAAGGTGTGTAGAGACTGTGCCTAGTCACTGCCCATTCCTGCTTATTTTGGGGACTTTGATAAAGAACAGGAGGAAACACAACATACTCCCTCTGGGAGTTCAGTACGGAGGAGATTTATTGTTTCAGTCCTTACAGGAACTCCTTTTCCTTGGCAGTGAACTGTGTTTTTGTTAATACATTATTTTGTTCTTCTTCGGCCGTGAGGTCAGGAACGTTTTTGAACAGAAGCAAATCTTTGTTTAGAATATACTATACATCACCAACATTCATACTGTAGCTGGGGATACTTTTAAAGGGGACATCTGTGAGTGGTGAGAGAGCCCAGGTAGTGGGGGATGCAGGCAGGAATGGGGGAGCAAATAAGCAACAAGAGCCCTCATTTGGCTCTTCCTCATGTTGTGTGAAGGGGCCTTGGTGAAAACCACAGCTGCTTCACGTTAAAGGCAGAGAGAGCGCCTCCCTGAGATAGCTGCCATCCTGTGACCGAGAAGATGCGAGGGACCACCAGCATAGGGAGAGGAAGTGACTCCAGCAAGGTGTCCCAGCAGGGAGAAGCTCTGGGTTCTGCAGTTAGGGTTGGGGTGTGTTTTTTTTTCTTTAGACGAAAACGGGGCTTCTTATTTTTTCTTAATTTGAAAAGTTGCAAATAGCCTTGACTGTGTCTGCTCTGTTAGTAACGGAAAAGTTTTTTTATTCTTCTGTATAGGTACTTGCTGTGCCAAACGGTGGGAATACAGTCCCTAGAGTGAGCCTCTTACCTGGGCTGTCTAATAAGCCGGCACAGAATCGCTTTCTTCTCCTCAGGACCTGCTGATCTGGGAAACTTTGGTATCCCTCCTTCTCATAGTCATTTCTCTGACTTCTGTAGAAGAAACCAAAGCAGAGCTCTAGAGTTAAAGCCTATCAAGACATGGTTTGTACTCCTCTTGGGCTCTGTGCCTTAATGATTCAAGGCAGTTGATGGCAATTAATCAGAAAACTTCAGCCACAATGAAAATGCAGCGCAATGTATCTGCTCATCTCCCTCTCTGTCAACAAAATTTGGTGGAAAAACTGACCTCACAAATAGCCTGACTCATTAAATAGTCAACCCTTCTTGTTGCAGTTATTAGGATTTTTTTTCCCCTCATGACTCTTTCTTGCTATAAGGGGAAGTTTGGGAATGGCTTTGCATGCAGGAACTCCCAGGAGCTAAGCCACAGTGCTTCCAACAACAGTGCTGTTTTATCCATAGGCTGAGGAAAACGGTAGCAGCTCAGCATCATTCGTGGAATAACCTTTGTTTAGTTAAAAAAATTACGTTTCTACATCTTCAGTCTATGACACATAGTCTGCCTATTGCAGGTGACTGAAGGTGGTGTTCAATGGTAGGTCGACTCAATCTGATGGTAGACAATGAATTTCTGGCGCTTGATTTGGACACACTTAGGTATCTGTATCCATGAGAGATGCAAACATACAAGTTCTCCTTAGCAAGACTGTTTTCACCATCACTGGAAAGGATCACACAGTAGTACGAACTTGGCTCAGAGCAGTCATGGGCCACACAATGACACTTTTGTCAAGTTGACTGGAGCATATGGCAGGGAGTTAGCACCAGTGCTCTGTTTTTATGCTAGTTTTGTGCCGACATAGGACCCAAAGTTAGGATGGGCTAGAAAAGCAGTAACTACTGCAGCAGAAAGCCTTCAAGCAAAGAGCTTAATCTGAACACGAACAGTGAATTCAACCCAGGTTAGTGCTGTTTCTGATGTGATAAGAGGAACTCTAAACTTTTATTTACTGCCTTGCCAAACTACCATGTGAAATGTTAATTCTGAAGAAGGATACAGAAAGGAATATTATTTTATTGACTGAAATGGAACCTCTTCAAAATCTAGGAGGCCTGAGGACAGGATCCCTTCCTTGGGTTTTGAGACACAGATAAACTATTTGAATAACTAAGAGAGTATTGATTCAGTTCAGTGCCGGTCATCTGTACAGCAGCATCCCAAGGAGTCCTCAGTGTGCTGCTGCTGCTGCTGAAGGTGATGACTGGTGGTTACCTGCAATTCACTGAAGGCAGGAAGGGCACAAAGCGCTGCAGCCCTTCAGTAGCTTTCTATATTGCAGGTACAAGTGCAGAAAAGGCTCCCCAGCCTCATATAAGGGGTTGGGAGGGAAAAAGAGAAAGGGCCATGTGTCTTTGCCTTACACAGTATCATGCAACTCGAGTTGTACCTCAGAGAGTCCTAAGGCAACTTATTGCCTCCCTGAAGGATCAAGAGAACTGTGCCCATCTGAGACACTCACTAACATCAACATCAAAGGCAGGTAACTTTTGCTAGATCAAACTTGCTATGAATAGCAGCAGCACGCACTGTAAGGAATAACAGGAATAGAAGGGGAGCAACTCAAATAACTCACTGAAAGAATAACTCTGGCCAAAGCTTGTAGCTTCTGGCTTGGAGTATCTGAGCTGCAAAAGAGAGATACTCACAACTCTTGTGAATGGAAACATTTTTTTTCCTTTAAAAAGAAATCATTCAAGGTTTTAAAACTTTCCAGTGATCTTTGTAGCAAAAGATTATTGCTCTATGTGTTCACTGAACAAAAATCTTCTCTTTTCCTCCCTACCAGCAAATAAATTTTCCTTTATTGAATAAGTGTTTTTCTTTCTTTGCTCAAACCAAGAAACTTAGCTTTAGTGCCAGCGTGTGCTTTGTTTTATAAAGAGAAATTTGGTCATCAGTACTGCTGCCAACTGTGGTATTACTGCCAGTGCTGGAATATCTGGAGTTTCACTTCAAGCCCCAGAACAAGTGACTGTGTGACAGTCTCAATTTCCACATTTTTTTCAAGTAATATTTTAGCCCTCCTAGTTTCAGAAGAAAACTTGAAACACAACCAAAGAGCACTTTAGAGAGTGAAAGGACTCTCTGTTTTAAAATACCATTATTTTGTAGTCTGTTAATGGTTGGGGTAGCTGAGTTATATATTTATTTTTGCCAGTGTGGTATTTCATTATTAAAGGGAAAACATTTACTGACACAGTGGATTTGCAGTTACAGATTTATTGGTCTCAGGCTGTATTTACATATTCTTTCTTAGTTCACATTGCTTGGAGCAAAAAATTGCCTTTTTATGCACAATTCTCCTATGAGGTTCAAATAACACCCTTCAGATTTAGAGAATGTAAGAATTTTACATGTCATTCAATATTCTTGAAGCACCACTGCTTAAAACAGGAAATAATATGGACAGCCGTGCTGCCTTGCTGTGGGCTACTGGCAGTTTCCGATGTAGGTGCGAAGAGTAAATTTGCCAAAGTCTTTACAAGTACAAAAATAAAAAGATACAAAAGATATACAGTCTTTGATGATTTACTGAAGAAACAAACATACTGACTAAAGTTGATGGTCTTTCCCACTGATGCTTGCTATCCCTTCCACTGACAGTTATTTTAACTCTTATAGCAAAATCATAGAAAGAGCCAGATAATCTCAAATTCCAGGTTTTTTTTTGCTCCATCTGTATTTCAGCAAATACATCTAAAGTGATATTTTATCAGAAATTACCTATGACTTACCTGTACATTTGATTATACTCCCATAAGCAGGGTAAATTTACAATGAAAAATGTGGTTGTAAGAGTGTAGAAATACATTGTTTAGTTACAATTTGAAATTGTTTTTAGAAGTACTTATTTTAGACTATCACATACATTAAAATTTTAACAGAAAGTAGAACTCCAAAGAACTTAAATACAGCAGTACGAAACCAAGCTATTTTGATGGTCATGTATAGAAGTTACTCTGAAAATTCATGCTGAGGGACATTTTAAAATGTAGATATTTTGGTCTGTATTTTTTTATGGAAGCAGTGGAACATCTCAGAGAATAGAAATGTCAGTGCCCAAATTCCTTTGCACACAATAATATTCAAAATATGAAAGATCAAGCTTGCAAATGTATTTAAGTGCTTAGCAAAGCAAGAGCCACCTTTTATTTGTAGCATGGAAATGCTTAAATGTCATTGATTTGATTCAGAGCCAGCTGCTAATGTGTAAAATTCCACTAAATCTCTAAATGCCTAGATGCCTTTAAGTAGGCACTAAAGACCAAAATGCGTTTAGTCTGCATTCAGTACTCTTTTTACAAAAGATATTTTCAAGGCCAGATATAATACAATTACTGCAACTGTAGTTATCAGGCTTGAGTGTTGTTTATTTGCAATACCAACAGACTCTGTAAGGGTATCTGTTAGTGCAGAGCATGTTTTTCCTACTCTTTCATACCTGAAACTCTGCTGATGCGCTACAGGGAGTGAAAATACGTTCAAAGGAACTGGCTCAATGTTTATTCACTTTACAATCAATACAAGTTAGGACTACATTTGTAGAAATATAGTTGCTACTCTGCTAGAGTGCCAGATTTCAAACAATGTTGTATGTTAGAGATATTCAGCAGACATGTGTCACTGTCAAATGGTGCAGCAAATTTACAGTCCTGAGCTACCTCTGTCCATCTTGCTCTTACTGTATGCTCCCATTGCTGCTGCTAGCAGAACATGGGATAGAAAGAGGGCTCTGCACTTAGTGTTTCATGTTCCTGTTCCCAAAATTGTATTTCCATCCTGAGCTACAGTTTATTTCACCATCTCATAAATCTTGGGTATCAATAAAGACAGTATCATTTTTGTGCTCAGTCCTTATTTCCTAATCCAACAGACAATATATTTAAATGGAAGGACACCAATTTACCCTGTACCTGGTTCATTGGCTTCAGAAGTTACTCAGATCTGGATTATGTACTTGAAAAGCTGTTTTTGTTGATGAGGCACCCTGTGGTTGTCCCTTGACTTTGTGAACTCCTCACTTGGAGTGGCAATGTGCTACTTAATAGCCAAAGGGCAGCATTCTA